ACTTGATACCATGCTGGGACCACACACGTTTTTAAGTGCTGAAAAAGACCAAGAAGCCCTTTTAATGCGGAAAGAGTTTTCTCTGTTGAGGCTGCATCCTTCAGAGAGGGTACTGTGAAGATATACAAAAGAATGTACTGCGTCTAATTTATTTCCTTCAACGAAGATAGTTGGTTCCATATAGGGTGATCCGGGTGCTGGATCATACATGACGACTGTCTTTTTTTGGTTGATCCTTAAACCGAATGAGTTACATGCAGATACAAAATGGTTCATAAAGCATTGCAGCTCATCTTCAGAATGTGCAACGATGTCACAGTCATCCGCGTAGAGTAGCTCCCTCACCAATGAGGAAGAGACTTTTGTTTGAGAAAGCAGTCTACGGATACAATAGCAATACACTGCAAGATGTCCGATATCTGATGTAAATACCGTTTGGGTTTTCATAGAAGGCCACGGAAAAGACTATGGCGAAGTAGATATTGAATAACATGGGTGAAGAAATGTCACCCTGTTTGACCCCATTGTTTATAGGTATTTCTTCAGATAGAGTGCCGTTAAAGCTAACTCTAGCCTTCATTCCGTCATGAAGAGAACGAATCAGACCCACCCAGCGTTGATAAGATCTTTCAAAGAGTTGTTCTGTTTACGGTGTCAAATGCTTTTGATAAGTCAATGAAACACTGGTACAAAGGAAGATTTTGTTCTTTGCACTTCTCTTGCAATTGCCGAGAACTGAAAATCATACCCACAGTGCCACGGCGTGCACGGAAACCACACTGTGATTCTGGTAGTATTCCATAGGATTGACAATTGTGTGGACTAATCTATTTAAAATAATCCTTGAAAAAACCTTTCCAGTAGTAGACAGCAAAGATATACCCCTAAAATTGCGGCAGTCCGACCTGGAACCCTTCTTATACAAAGACACAAGTATTGCATCTCTCCAGTCCTGAGGTACTTCACTTCCCCATGAATTTTGGATGACTTGCTCCAGGAGATCGATCATTCTCTCACCGCCATTCTTTAGAATCTCTATTGTTATACCATCCATTCCTGGCGCTTTGTTGTTTTTCACTTGACTCACAGAAACTTCTATCTCACCTCTGGAAGGTACTTCATCAAGAGCCATAATTGGATCGTGTTACTTAATGAGATCTAGTACAGATTCATCAACGACTGGATGGCGATTAAGGTGTTCGCTATAATGTTCACACCATCGTTTCTTGATATCCTCTGGTTGTCTCAATATGGTACCGTCTTTTGATTTGAGAGGAGCAAAAGTTGATTGCTGCGGACCATAGAGCTCTTTGATTATTTGGTAAAATAATCTCGAGTTTTTACTGTTTGCTTCAAGTTGTGCCTCTTCTGCTTTCTTGAGCCACCACTGGTTTTGGATTTCGCGCATACGTGTTTGTGCAACTTTTTGGAAATCCTTGTATGTTTTTGGAGCTTCCATTTTTGCTTGGTTAGATAGATTTGATGACAAGGTTTTCTGGAAAAGATTGCGTTTTGTTTCAAGAAGTGCATCAATTTCCTCATAATTTTCAGCAAACCAGTCTTGGCACTTCTTTTTCCGAACTCCTGAAATGTCATGAACCGCTGAAAGCACTTTCACTTTGAAATCCTCCCATAAATTTGTTTCATCTAGTTCGATAGAGGTAAATGCATTCTGGGAGATGATCTTTGTTTCAGGGAGATGAAAAAAATTTGAAACCTCAAGCTTTTTTGCTTTTTTGTGCATGATGCAGTGCTATGTCGTGCTTTCATTTTGGCTCTTACCAGGCGATGATCCGTCCAATATTCAGCGCCTCTCATAACTCGGACATGGGGAAGATCCTGTAGATCACGCCGACGAATAATAACATAATCAATCATGTGCCAATGTTGAGAACGTGGATGTTGCCATGTGCCTTAGTATTTGTTTTTCTGACGAAACCACGTGTTTGCAATCACAAGATCGTGCTCGTTGTAAAACTGCAAGAGCTGAACGCCATTGCTGTTTGCATTTCCCATCCATGTGAACCTAAACATTTCCAAGTTTGAGAATCCCTCTCCACTCTCGCATTGAAATCACTGAGTAGAATGATCTTATCATCCTCAAGGAAAGAGTTGCCTTAGCTCATCATAAAAAGAGAGTATGTTTTTTTCAGGGGAGTCCATGGTTGGGGCACAAACCGACACGATTGTGACAAAACGTTTTTGTCGCAGAGGAAGACGTACAGAAATAATGCGTTCTGATTTACCAAAAGGAAGTTCCTGCAAGTTTTTTTTAATAGGGAGGATTTGATGGCAAAACCTACACCGTGTTTTCTCGCTTCATCAGCAGGTTTCCCCATTCCAAAAGAAAGTATAACCAGAGCTTGTCTCTGTGAGCTGACCATCATCAGCAAGACGTGTCTGGAGAGACCACCAAAGCTCCCTGGCCAACAGAGCAGTTCTGCAATGCGGCCTTTCAGACAGCTCATTGTCAAATAATGTTCGTACATTCCAGCATGCAACTCTCATGCCAACGGAGGTGGAAAACCGATTTGTATGTTTGTGATTTTTTGATAATGCCGAGTTTTTGTCTTTAATTTTATTACCACTAAATGAATAATCCGCAAGCCGTGGCTACTGGCCAGATTATGAGGCAAAGCATTTGTTTGGGATACCTTTTCTAATCCCCGCACGAAGTAAGCAGTGCTCTCCTAGAAAGGATGCTTTGACATCCTTAACTCCACCGAATCATGCCTTTTGCCTCTATTAGACAAGTGAAGCGATGTTAAGATAAGTTAAGAGTCGCCACTGTGCACCGTTCGAGCTACATACTCCCAGTTTGTTAAACCTGTATGCGTCGCCAAACGTATATCGCCAGTGAACATAGGTTAGGTTAAGTGATGCTTCGTAAGAAAGCATAAAAAAAAATAAAAATAAAAAAACATAAAACACGGAAAAACACGAAAAAAGGTCAAAGGAGGTACCTGTGCATGAGTTTATTTATAGTGAATTGAGCTTGCACTGCACTCAGTCCACTTTTTGCGTGTGGTATAGTTTTCCAATGGCACATAAAATGAGACGATTGGTCCATACCAAACACTCAGGTTTGATATTTGGAGTTTTCCTTCTCCTAGATGGATTACCACAACAGTGGCTAAGGAGTCCCCATCTACCCCGGTGAGTTCACTATTTGCCCATAGCTGGGACCCTAACAGGTGCTACCACCCCGGGTCAGGGTGGACCTGGGAACACCAGCAATTAAGAGGTGGTTCCATGCTTCCTCAAAACCTCCTGATCAGAGGCCTTGCTGTTGTATGTAGTTTATCGTCTTACTCAGGACAATTATAATTATATATACAAGTATATATACAAGTATATGATTGGTGTATACGGAATAAATTCCAATAACCAACGATTACTATTCTTAAAAGAGTGCTCAATACAGAGTAGAGCGAATATAGTTATTTAAAAATTATAGCATAAATATGTTATAAAATCACTACAAAAATAGCCATTTCTCTGGTGTCTTATCAATTGATGTTTTATGTTATAATTTTTAAATAAATAATTTATATATATATATATATATATATATATATATATATATATATATACTCCCGGAAATCGGTCGAGTTCTCAAGAGAAAGTTTTTTAAAAAAAAAAACAGCGGCTACGGCTACTAATCATTATTCGTCAAGTAAAGTGAATTGAGTTGTCCGAGCCGCTGGCGTATTTCGTATAGAGAAAAACGTTAAAATTTCCTTCCTTTCTGACAATGGTCTGGTAGGATATCTGAATTGAAGCAATCAACCGTCTAGCTACACTGAGAAGCTGTGATCTTTGGATGACTATATATATAATTCCAATCAATCCTTCAAGAAATTGTTATTTTTTGAATAAATTGAAAAGTTTTTCTTGAAGATTTTACAAGGTTGGTTATTCAAAGTTTTCAGAATTACAGAAGATGTGATTTTACTAATCTTCATAAAATAAACGTTAATATTTTCATTAAATTTGGACTTACTCAGGTATTCCTCTCTAATTCCCTCCCATCATTGCTTATCCGTGTTTAAATTTATGTTCATTGGTGAATAACAAATATACATGTCGTAAAAATATTTAGTTTTCTTAAACGATTTTATTGCAGAAATATTCATAGCAGAAGTTGCACGAAAATATAGTTTTACACGATACGTTTGTGCAGTAAATAAAATTCTAGACAGCTTTTATTGAAATACTCTCCAAACACGAAAATTATTATAGGTGTTAATCACATTATAATCATGGTTGTTCATTAGTTATTTGTCACGTACGTTACACACTGTTATTGTCTCAAATAAACAATGGATCATTTCTTTTTTATTACGAGGATAGACCTGTAATCCTCTGCCCCAAAATGGAGAAAATTACATATATCAAAGACTCTGCTTGGTTTTGAAGAAAGAAAGAAAGAACGAATGAAAGAAAGAAAGAAAGAAAGAACATATATAGGAGGCAATAACACGCCCATGTGTTTAAAGTCTGCAAAGTGAAATGTTGTCAATTTTAAATATTTTCCGTTGTACAATTTTCATTCATATTTATGATTGTTATTGTGATATTTTATTAAATTTGTTAAATGAAATATTTAACGACGTAATAACGTAAGAGTTTATCCTATGGCTATATTATAGTTGCAAAACTCAAAGAGCTTATTCAATCATAAAAATCCATCTCAAGATTCAAATAGGAAATCCATATTTTCATGTATATCCATAGTTTCAATTCATCACAAAAACTAGATCGACTTATGTTTACGTATATCTCAATGGCGATTTCATGCGTTTCCTTCTTCGAAAAAAAAGTCAGATCTCTTCTCCCTAATTACCGATTATTTACAATTTTGTATTTTATTTCTTTTTTTAAATTTAAAGAAGTTATTGCTTTTTGGAAACAACCAATCTGCTTTTAGCTTAGCCATTTCAATTTGTTCCGTTGAAAACTGCCATATATCCTCAAACTTTTCAGGCGTTACAATTTCAATGCTATACCAACAAAGACTCCCACTTCTATCTATAAATCCTCCTCCTCCACCTTCTAACAATTTTCTTATTCCCTCTCTTTCTTTTCCTCTTTTGGTTCTTGGTCTGGCTTTCAAACTTTTCCATTTGCTCTCTATCTACAGTCTTTCTATTTTCCATCATGTTTTTATGCTTCTAGTTTTCATCCTCGAGAATTCCTATTAGTTCTGTATATCATTTTCCTCGTTGATATCTGCTTGTTTCTCATCTTTCATCCATTGTCTGCAATATTAAACTATCAGTCTTAGTGATTATTACTTGTTTTCTTCTTATTTTTTCGAAAAAGTACATCTTATGTTTTTGTTAAGAAATATTACTCTAAATATTTTGTCACTGGCACGTCAACAAGAAGCTTATAAACGGCGTAATTGTAAACTTGAAAGCGATATTTCTTCCAAATCGTTATCTACAAACCAAGTCTAAAAACGGAGCTTTAGACAAGGACAACATTTACAAAAATGAAATAACTTTCAAAGTACAAGTTTACTTACATGTCTGTCTATACAGAAATTTACTATTTACACTCATATTTCAACAACATTTTTTCCGAATGTCGTAATAGTAAAGGTAATATTAGCCGTTTCCTTATAAGGAAATATTCAGTAGCGAGTAGCTAGTACTGCTGTCGGTTGAAATTTATAAATTGATTTTTTATGAAAATAGTTTTTCAAGTCCAGTATCTGTACTGATGAGCGTTTACGTCCTAGCCTTTTATTTGAAGTATTGTGGAATGTTATTGATTATGTTATTATTTTCTCTTTGAGTTAAATATGATATCTGTTTTAGCTGTTGCTGCTGTTGAAAGTGTTATGTTTTCTGTTAGCTGGCGCAGTTATTTGTTTGTGATTCTGTAGCGTCCGTTCACAATGTTCGAAAAAGTGTGGTCTTCGCTAAGTTCCGCATATTTAATTCACTTAAAGCAATTTTAACCATTGATCTGAGAAAGCGTTTGTATACAGCTGATAGGTTAGATATTTCTGAACGGATTTGTCGCCATGAATGACATTCATATGAAAGTCTCGATCATGACTCCGAGATTTCAGGTTAATGATTTTTTTTTCTTTTGTAGCAATTTACGAAATTGGACGAAATTACACCTACCGCATCATATTCTATATTCAATTTCCTTTTCTCCTATAATTTGTTATAACTGAATCATACACCGAGATATTTGAAATCTTTAATACTTACTAATTCTACCATGTGAACTTGTATGATGGATTCAGACGATGTGCCATCACTGCTTTCATATCAATTCTAGATTATCGTTTCTGTTTTGGAAAGGTTTATGTTGAACCCTCTTTTTTGTATCACTTGTTAAAGGATATTAATTTCCTGTTCAAGGTCATTCTTATCTCAAATATGAATATCTATGTCATCAGTACGTTGGCCTCGAGAGGGTAAGTAGGATCATAATTTTCAATTTGTAGTGTTGTTTGGGATGTGGTATGGAATACATAATGACCAGTGCTCATATGTTCACATCTGTGTTTGTAACAACTCTCACAACTAATCCATGAGTTTGAGATAATGAAGTCAATAATCTTTTTTCCTACATTATCTGGGCTATACCAGGTGATCCGTGTTTAATCGGATGGTCGAACCATGTGTTAAGGATTGAATATCTTTCCAAGAAAAGTTTCAAAAGTGTTCCCCATTGTTGTTTGAGGCTTCCGCTTTAAAGGGTGAAGTCTTTTTAGCGCCAAAATGCAATGCCGTTTAAAAATGTTAGTAGCGTTAATGCACCGTTTTCTGTTTTGATTTTTTTCTTTTTTTTTCTAATATTCAAAGTTCTGTTTCAATATTTAAAGTTCTGAAATCCTGTTCAGAATTTCAATTGGATCTTTCAGCTTTTAGCAACAACGTCTGACTGTGGTACAATATCGGCTATTACAATATCTAGTGATTTTCGTATTGCAATTCCAACTCCATACTGACTTTTTCTATTTGTGCTCAATCTAAAATACAATGTATCACACATGCACAAGAATCATAACCAAATCTACAGACGTCTTGTATGCAGACAATATTAAGGTTTTTTTTTGCATCCTTCTAAAAGGAAGTTCACCCTGAAATCATTTGATCCTGACTATACCTAACTTTTATATTTACATACGCTCTATCCGTGATATTGCGTATGTAAATATAAAAGTGAGGTATAGTGAGGATCAAATGATAACTTCTACAAATACAAGTAATTATACTATTGCTACAGTCACAAATATTTCTTCTGTGTTATGAAATTTTCATCCAGTGTTTACACAAGAAATGTTTGTCAGGGAATACGTATGTGTTACATCATTCTATTTGTTTATACTGTATAGAGAGTGTGTTCATACGCTACTGGACTCTTGCGCATCATATGCGCGGAATAAAGTAGTCCTCCTAATACCTTTACATGAAATGGCATTATCCTTATACGTTCTTGAATACGTTTATTTGATCAGAAAAATATATTAAGGTACCAGACGTGAATGAAACGGGAATAGGAAAATGTCTCAAGATAGAGTCTTTTTTTAGTAACTAGTGTTGGTATTAAAGTTTGTTGTGTGTATTTAATAAGAACGAATACTAATGTTTAATAAAACAAAAGATTCATATAAACTAGTTATAGTTCATTAAATATCTGAGTGGCTTATATTTTTCTTCGGCCACGTCTTGCTCTTTTTAATTAATGTTGGAATTTTCTGATCTGGATCATTATTTATATTGCTGTCTGTATGTACATCATTTGAAATGTATTCGTATTAACACTTATTCTTTGTTCATGAGAGTATTTTGTCCGCTTAAGTAACAGGATTCCAGCTCTAAAAACACATATTTAAATATGAGTCGTGCCATATATTTGACCTTAATGCGTCTTTAAGAGAATCCCTTTGTGGGCTAAAGATCTAGTGTCTTTGTTCCGAAGATTTAGTCAGTAGAGTAGCAGGTTACTACAATGGCGTCGTCAAGATCTATCGAAATGAACGAACAATTATCATTTGATAATTATGATTATATGCAAAAAAAATGGTTTAGAATACCAGCAGCTAAAGCTATAGCAAAATATGTAAAGGATTCAAAGTCAATCAGAAGAGAAACTCAAATAACGGAACTCTTGTTGGCAATTGCTGGTTGTGAGGCCATTATGGTTGGGGGAAATGACGTTTGACGATATGTCAACTAATAGTGAACACACAAGAAAAAATAGAGAATGCTGAAAGAGTTAAGTTTAGGAATATTTCTGAAAAAGGGAATGAACTAGTTATCGAATATGTTCTTCGTTTAAAACAGGCCACTAAATATTGTGAATTTGACAAAGTGGGATCCGAAAACCAGACAATCGAAGAGGATTTGATTCAAATGAAATTGGTAAACGGCCTTCAAAACCAGGATTATCGGTAAATGATTCTAATGCATTTACAAGTGGGAAAGTTGCCACTAGAACAGTGTGTTGATTGTTTCAGCAACAATAATTAATTGGAAAATTTAATAGAACAAAAATTACGGACGTAGTAGAGGAGATGGACACATACGTGATAAAAATAATAAGTGGAATAATTGTTCAGTGGCAAAAAGGCGTTTTAAAGAGGTTAAGCACAGGTTAACTGTAGGAAATGATTTCATTTGTAATTGAAAAGTAATTGTTCTGCCAGCAACGCAAAGGTAAAGGAATATTTTATTTAGCAAAAAAACGTACGAAAAAATTCGTTCAAATTAATGCTTAAGGTAATATTTAAATTATATGTGCACATAACAAAGACAGACGACATGAGCCGATTTTCAGAACAAACGATAAATAGAAAAAAAATAGAACAATCACACCGGCCGAAGACTTTTCGTTGATGTGAGAACAAGTTTGATGTTTCTTTGGTTCTAGTGTAGTGGTTGTCAAATTTCTTCTATATTATTTTTCTTTCTGGGCCGGGACGACCTGGGTTCCAGCAGTAGATGTTCGTCGACTCCTTGAATTAACTCCAAGGCCACTCTTTTATAACCTACATGTAGACTTCAAATTCACTACTCGGAATTTGGAGGAAAACCTTTTGATTGATTCTGAATGAAAAAATAAACGCTGCTGTTTTCCTACAAATCGAAATGTACCAAGAAGATTTTTGAAATTCAAAAATTAAGGAAGAGCCCAACCTAGCGTCTGCATTCACTCAGAAAAGTAGATGATACAGGCTGAAGCAGCTTACATTTCTTATAAAGGAACAAAATTATAAACAAGTATACCTGATGATGCTCATTGCGGAATAACGTCTACGCAAAGGTGATTAACCTAGAGTCATGGCGGCCAGGCTATTCCACAGACGTAGAAGAATACATAAAAAGGTGTAAAATATGCAATGACAGAAACAAATCTAGACACATACATGACCTAAAGAGTCCCAAATTTAGGATAGAGTACACATGGACCATGCCAATGTTAATTATTATTAATATTATGGGATTATTATTAATACTGGTAGATTCGTATTCAGACGAGCCAGAAGTAATAACAGAAGTTCGACTGTGAAACAAGAGTTAAGTGTCATATTTTCAAGAATTGGAATTCGGAAAAGGCTAGTATCTCACAACGAACCAGAGTTCTGTGACGAGGAACTAAACCAATGGTTGAACAAAATTGGATGCAAACCATATAACCCTCCCCCGTGCCATCTGCAATCCAACAGAAAGACGGAAATCAGGAGAAATGGAGCAAGCTATAAAAAACGGATTGAAAATATGTGTGCAACAGAAAGATAGAAACATTTCTTCCTAGATATTTGCTAAGCTATAGGACAATACCACATGAGTGAAGGACGTAAAGTTCATCCGTCCGCATGAGTAGACAAATTAGATCCCCATTGATTATGTCCTTTGCCACCAACGAAAACCTATTATACAAAAAGAAGAGTGAATCTAATCTACAAGAGGCAAAAATCATAATGTAAAATGGACAGAATACTATGATGATAAAAAAAAATGGAAATGAGTTATTAGCACTTGCAGACCAAGTTAGATAACAACGAGGAAATGTATCGTGAGCCTGAAAGTAATGAAGTGGAAAGTGCCATATCAAGGCAAGATAAACTAGACAGTGAAATCGAAAGTAATATACTCTGAAGATGAACAAGAACAATCTTCGGAGGCACACTCCTATGAAACAAGAA